GTATAGTGTTTATTTTTTTAATAAAAAATACTATACGCGTCCAAAGTTCTTCAACTTTAGAAGAGGATTATCATTTTTCGTGTCCAAAGTTACTTTGGACGCTAATTGTATATACAATTAGCGTCTCCTACATCCGCGTCCAAGCAACTTTGGACGCCTTTTAGCCTTAACTTTGGACGCAAATGATTATTTTTGTACTAGTGCCATTAAGGTTCTGTTATCAAGCCTCTTCCTCCTCAATTTATTTTTGTTGAAACTCACTCACAGTATGCTAGAGGACCTGCTTTTTTTAATCAAGTAACCACAACACAAAAAATCACAATAAATTGATGAAAATAACCAATCCAACATGCAGAATGCAAAACTTTGATATCAGGGTATTTAAAGAAAAAATGTCAAAATCAAATAACATATACCCCAAATATACATACATTTACACCAGTAACTAAACATACATTTGGACACAGTGTAACAACATATCCTGATATACAAACCCCTAACAAATCGAAATAAAGATGAAAACGTGAACATAGTTTACACCTATCAGAATCATAATATTACCTTGAAATGAACTATGAGATCTGAGCCCCTAGCTTTGCAGGCTTCATTCAGAAACAACCATATAAAACTTAGAAATCAAATGAAATCATGAACTGGAAAACAATATAGAGTGCAAATGAAAGTATAATTTGTATTTATAGGTGGAAAATAGTAACTCAAAAGGAAAGTATAATAATTTGTAATTAAGGTAATAACATTATTACTATTATTATTATTATTATTATTATTATTATTATTATTATTATTATTATTATTATTATTATTATTATTATTATTATTATTATTATTATTATTATTATTATTAAATGAATGATATTACAGAAATGTTCCTATGTTTTAGGGGGAAAACTTAGCTTTGAGGATTTTACTTTTATATATTATTATTATTATTATTATTATTAAATGAATGATATTACAGAAATGCCCCTAAGTTTTGAGGGGAAAACTTAGCTTTGAGGATTTTACTTTATATATATATATATATATATATATATATATATATATATATATATATATATATATATATATATATATATATATAATTCAACATATTTTTGAAAGTCAACATAGATAAAGTTATGTTAATTTTTTTAAAATTTAAATACATAAAACGTCAGTTATTTCGTAATAACCGATGTTAAAAGTTATATTAATTAAATAAAAAAAATATGCGACGTTGATTTTTATATAACCAACGGTGTATGTTTACTATACAACGTCGCCCAGAACAACGTCGCTTTTTAGCCGACGTTAAAGGCCCTAAATAGCCGACGTTAAAAGCCTTCTGTGTAGTAGTGCACTGCATGAACAATCGGAGGATGCTATTGGTGATAGGAAGGGTCGAGAGCATCCCCTGCTGCTCAGATTGTTAATCGGAGGTCACCGGAATTTCTGGGTTTTGTTACGCGATCGGCGAGTTTTCGGCGTGTAGAGGAGTCTGGCAATGGAACAGGCGGCGGCGGCTTCCTGTTCGTCTGACTTATTTCCAGCCCTCTGGTGAGACCTAGCAATACTACTACCTTCGCATTTGAGTGTACCATGAATCTACTTCACCAGCTATAATATTGTTGCCTATACAATCGGAAAAGAAACGGTCGACTATCTCTGTAATGTCGGCGGCTTCGAGAGGAGTCTCCTCTCTCGTCTCCGGCTGCTCTTGATCAGTCATCCGTAGCAGCCGTGGAGAGCATTGAGCACCGATGCTGTCGAGGCCGAGGTATCCGTTCGGATTATCGAGGCAAAGCCGTGAGTCATGACTCCCCAATCCAAACGCACCGGCGCCATCGCCATCAAATGTGGAATGACCACTCTCTGGGATAAATGGGGCGCTAGTGTTCCCATCTTTGTTCTCTGGCTGGATGATAACATTGTTTCGTAGGTGAAAACGCCCGAAAAGGAAGGCATCTCAGCTCTCCAGGTTCGCTTCGCGATATACTCTTTTTATATTTGACATTTCTCCCTATCTTTCCCTCAATCCTTTAAGAAGCTTCATTTCAATTCCCTAAAAGCTTTTTCTTCACCGTCGCTTGTTCGTTCAAAGTTGTGCTCGAGTTCGAAACCGTTTGTTGCTTCGGTTGTGGCCACTCCTAATTCTTCTCTACTCAGCGAGGAGGCATTCAAGGGGCTCGGGGGGTTCGCTAAGGATTCCTTTAATGTCAGCACTCATCAACGCTGAGTATGATTCGGAACTCGATGAGGATGGGAGCGAGCTCGGAGCGACTGATAGTGACGTTGAACTTGCACTTTCCAAACTAGGTTTCCAAACTAAAATGACGTTTATGCCCTTCAAAATAACAGTGAATAGACGATAATTGTAACGGAGGACCACATTGGGTACCGTTTTATACTCTGAGACAAAATCGAGTATTAGCTAATAATCGAAAGACCATTTTGGATATTAACTCTAATAATTATAATATTTTAATTTATGGTATTGTAATTTATAAATTATAATATTTTAATTTATAAATCATTATTACCTTATTATTGTTAGTTTTTGTGTAGGATATATTAGTTTTATACGCATTATTTTTTATAATTCAAAACCAAACTTAACAATGAATCAATATTCTCAGTAATTTATTTTCCATCAACCAAAAAATGAAATCAATCTTCCTATCCATTTCTTTTCTATGAAATTTCAATTTCTTTTATTCTCAATTAATTTCCGCAAACTAAACCGGCTATTAATCTTTCCCCGCAGAATTGTGACGTTAAGTAGTGGTCTTGAAATATTTTTAAGTATATTTTATATATTTTTGTATAATATCAATTTTGTTTCTTTTTTAAATGATTAACTTTTAATAATGAAGTAATCTTGTGGGGTTTAATGAAGTAGACTTAAGCACTAGACTTATGGTTTGTCACGAAGTAAACTTGTGATTTTTTTGATTGTACTTTCTGGATTTTACAGTAAACTTATGTATTGATAATATAATATTAGTTTTTGCTCCATTATGATATGAATGAATTATAGATTATTTATGCTATAAATGAATGTATTATCAGTGTATATGATTTTTTGAACATGTTCTTTGTATTGTTCTATTATCAAGAAGGAAAAAGGAAGATTGTGAGTGATTATTAATAAAAATGTCATTTAAACATATTTGTTGACGAAGGACAAAAAAGGTTATGTACAATAATGTTGAACATCATTTTGAACGAAATAACCCTAAAGAATTCAAACAACCCAAAATATGTTTTAAAAAATTGAAATCAGCTACTCCAAAAAAAAATTGATTTGGAAGTTTGAAACTAAGTTGATACTTTGTGAGTCCTGACTTTGTGAAATTGTGTTTTGATTCTTTAAATCTTTATACAATTTACAATTCTAGATGTTTTTTAGGTTAATACAATTTACAATTTACAAAATTGTGATTTAAAAACAATAGGAATAAGGGTCAAATATGGCAAATTATGCTGTGCATCCGTATGCACCATGCATGGTGCATACGAATGCAAAAACGACGTCATTTTGATGCAAAACGCGCGTCCTACTTTTAAAAAAAATCAATTTCGATTCCCAGCAACAACATTATGTCATTAATTTTTTTAGTTCATTCATTTATAATTTTTAGTTATGAAATTCTGGATGTATAGTTATGCAATTCTGAATGTGTAGTTATGCAATTCTGGACGTATAGTTATGACGTTATGGATGTGTAGTTATGCAATTCTGGATTTATAGTTATGAAATTATAGATGTGTAGTTATGCAATTCTGGATGTATAGTTATGAAGTTATGGATGTGTAGTTATGCAATTCTGAATTTATAGTTATGAAGTTATGGATGTGTAGTTATATAATTCTGGATGCATAGTTATGAAATTATGGATGTGATGAAATTATGGATGTGTAGTTATGTAATTCTGATTTTTTTTTTTAAAGTTAGACGTCAAAATGACGTCGTTTTTGCATCCGTATTCACCATGCTTACGGATGCACAACATAACGATTGGTCATCAAATATACTATTGAACACACCATAATACAATTAGACCACTGAACCTAAAAAAAATACCTACAATTGAATCCTTAAACTAACCAATTTTATATAAATCCTCCAATTTGTAGATTTCTAACCGGTCACTCCAAATTTATAATACTTTTTTAAAAAATAATTTTTTAAAAATAATTACTTAAAAAAAATAAATAAAATAAATAAAAAGCATCTCCAGCCATGAAGACGAAGATGACGAAAACCTGATTTTTTTTTAATTTTAAATAATTATTTTAAAATTTTTTTTTTTAAATATTTTAAATTTAGATTGACCTGTTAGAAACTTACAAATTGAAAAAATTGTATGAAATTAATTTGTTTAAGAATTCAAATGTAGAATTTTAAGTTTAGTGGCCTAATTGCGTTATAGTGTGCAGTCCGTGACCTATTTGACCCATTACATGTGATATGTGTTCATATACTTTCTCAACCTACTAAAGCCCAACAAGTCAATACCACCTTCACTGAAGCTCGAACCCATGACCTCCCAATTAAGAGAGTCACTTCATGCCGCTTGATCAGAAGGTCTTTGGTAATAAAGAAAAATTTTCTTGCAAAAATAGTCTAAATCATCAACAACAAAAGCCAACTAGGCAAAGACTTGAAAGAAAAGAATCAAAAGATACTCTACCAAATTAAAACCATTCTCCAAAACGTTCTAAATCTTTCAATTGCTCTTCAAAACACACAACTAGTTAAGGCAAGCTTTTACTTATATTAGCCGGTAATAGTCATCGCGATCTTAAACAATCAGTTCTAGACAAATACAATCAAATTCAAAGGTTCTAGACAAATACAATCAAATTCAAAGGCAAAGATAGATGTTGTATTTGCAAGAATAGATTGTTGAATTGATACTATTATGGGAGACACTTATAACGTTTCATCTCATGAAGGTCTATCAGATTGGCAGACAACTTTAGAACTTGTCCTCCCCTTACTGCATGGACAAAGTATTCTAATAATAACCAATACCAAATAACAAAAGGAACTATGAATCTATTATGCATGTAATGTGTAGTTTTTGAATCCTTCCCAAAAGCACCACTCTAAAACTAAGGTAAATTAAAGTGTGCTTGCTGTACAATATATGTTACGTTGTAAGTAATAACCTCCTCATAAACTAAAACAAAAAGTAAAGATTTCTCACAACCAAAAATTGAGGGAGTTGGTGAAAACTGGCCTCGGTAAAGAACCTGCTGTAAATTGGCGAGACAGCTAATTTACAGAACCCCGTTGTCGAGTAGTGGTTGTCCAACATCTGCAATCCTAGTAACGACTCTCTTGTTAGCTGCCCAACCTCTGCTAACAACCAAAATTTCAGAATTAGGAAAAACCATTCAAGCATACTTGCTAAAGTTCATAAGATATTAGGTCCAGAAGATGCTTTTTCTTCAAATAAACAAATACTAAACCTATCATGATTCAAACAGTTATAATGTTCTAGTCATGATGATGTAGAAGTAATTGACAGAAGACAACAAACCCATCAAAGTTATCTTGTTGATGCAAAGCCTGGAAACAAGATAGTAAGAGAATAATGATACACAAGTTTCTTGACTGTGAAGGAATTATGTCGTGGCAAGTGGCAACGGGTACAAATACAATACCTCACCCTTTTATACGTAAAGCTAAATTGCAAACTTGTTTATGAGTTTTCAAAATCATCGAGTGCAAACATTTGAGCAAAGCAGTGTAGAGAGTAGAGACCTTACACTAGTGGAATGGAGCTCTACTGGGTCTGATTCATTATTCTCCTGCGTCATAGACACATTGCTTGTTAACCTTTAAATTGAGATAACCAAAGAAGCTACATTTAGTTTGAAAGAGCGGTGGTGCTATCACGATACCTCCAGTAGCAGATCTTTACGTGTAATCATACCAACTACACGAGAAGCACGTGGAACAACAAGTATATGTCTTAGTCCCAACTGGCGAAATAGATTATACACCTACACCATCATTGTATATATTTCAGGGTCACTAGAGACAATAATTTAATTTGAAATTAATTGTTTGGCAGAGGCCAGTGAAGGGTCAAGTCCAGCAATTACTGGCTACGAGGTGAAGGGCCAAGTCTGACACCCTGCCACTCGAAAATGTTGTGGCAATATAAGGAAATAAAGTTGCGCCTTCACTATGAGCTATAGCTTTTGGCGTAGTGGTAAGCACAAGATTCTAACATTAATAAAGTACCAAGGCCACCTCCCTTAATTTGCTTCTCATAATTTATACTTGAGTAGAAATGATTTATTCCACTACAACTTTATCTTATTCTCATCCCATGGAATCAATCAAAGATATAGTACATAAAGATGGAATCCAGAAAAGACTAAGAAACTACCATGAATCTCACCTTAGTTAATGACATGTCTTCGGGCACAATGTATGGAGATGGGTTTATAAACGGAGCAAGGTCAATGTACATTTCCATGTCATCTTGAGTGAGATGAATATCACCTATAGATATTCCTTTACTAGAGACGGGTTTTACAAACTCACTAAGGTTGTGCCTGTTAAGTGTAGAAGTAAGAAATTTTTAGATGATGGATTAATCAGCCCTACACCACTATGAAAATCAAGAATCGCTTTTACCTGATTGGTAAAGAACCATCTCTTACATTACACGGCAAAGGGCTATGTTGAAAATCAACCTTGGATTGCAGAAGTACCAATAAATGACTGTATTAAGAAGAATATTTCATCATTCCAAAGCTGTTATCGCTGAAAATACTGTTTACCCAGATAGAATGATACCTTCGTAGTATGAGTCCAATGACTAGTGTCTCCCCATTTCTTGTATGATCAATGACCTAGGAAGCAATAAAAAGTAAATATTGGCACGCACTCAGAAGAACCGAATAACAAAAACGTCAAAATGCAAGGTTCTTACAGGGAAACCATTATGGTTATTACTCTGCAAGATTGAAACTATATCTGCCACCTTCACAACACGGGGAAAGTAGATGGCCTACATAATACATGAACTAGAGCAAGTGAGCAGAAAATAGGCACAAAATCTCACAGAAGAGGGTGAGGAAATGAAAAAGCTAAAATTGAGTCTGTCAACAAGCAAAAATTTTATAAACAATGAAGTGATGAACAATACATATATTAATTTCTTGCATAGGCTCAAATGCACATCATACAAAAAGAAGAAATGAAGCAGAGCTTTTATCACAACCAATGCCATAGCTATTTTGCTTTAAGAAATCCAGCCAGAATTGAAAACAGAAAATGAACGTTTTATTTAGTCATTTGGCACATGTAAGTGACTTTGACCTTTTGATTCCTAGATGCCTCTTTTGCTGTCATATAACGCATTTGATATTTTGGTCTTGATTCAAGTAGTGGAATGCTCCTTAATCTAGCCTGTTCCTCGTACAATCCTTCATTGAAAGCATCACCAACAGCCTGCAGATGGTAAAAATTTACTCAAATTAGCAATATGAATGTGGGGTAAAAAAAATTATTATTAATGTTAAATTCACACCTTTGATATGAGCAGAACAAGCATGATGAGAGGCAGGAATTTCAAATTGTTTGAAATTTCAACCATTATGACACAAAGAGACACAGTCATGCGCATTGATCCTCCCAGAAAAGATGCAGCACCTAGCAGAGCATACCTAAAAATTTCACCAGTAATTGGCAAACAAATAAGGAAGAAAGAAAGGGATCATCGGGATGATGATGATGATGATGTTGTTGAGGTAAAACCATGAGTTATACCATACACTCACAACTTTAACACTGATTTGACATTTTTTCAACATATTGTTCCCTCCCTTTTTGGCAAGATTCTGATTTTTACTTGGCCAGACATCCCCCCCCCCCCCCCCCCCTCCCACCCACCCACACACACACACAATTTTCCATCATATGTGGGGAACTCAACACATCTTATTATTAGCAGTACAAAGGTAAAGGTAAAATAGGAGTATAAAAGCTATATAAGCTGTAAAATCTAAAAACCAACAAAACATGAATTTAGAAGCTTGCATAAACACAATAAGAAAAATACTACTCCGTATTAATTTTCCAAGTAGGATATGTCCATCAAGTGCTATATATTATATAAGAAAACAATTCACTAAAGACTCAAAATTAAGGAACGGTATAATAAATTCGGCATAAAATAAGCTGAAGCTCTAATATAAACTTTCCTCAATTAACTAGTCATAAGTTCTATAGTAAAATTGGTTAAGTCGGCTCATAATCTGTCAAATTGTCTCAGATAAAATAATTTAATGGGAGTAATTGTATCAATAGGACACAATTGAATAAATGAAAAAGAAATAAGTAATGGACTCACGTTCCCTCTTCAATGTCAAGTTTCCTGTAAAACCTAACAACAAACATGCCAACCAGACGCCCATAAGTTGAACCTATCATTATGCCAGGAACGAACTGACCAGCTGGAACAGCAGTACCAAAAGTCATCACCGCTAAGGTGTAAAACATGACCTGAGAAACATGATATTTCAAGTTCACAAACAATAACGCAGGAGAATTATTGCATCCCCAACACCTAATAGAGGGTTCAGGGTTGCTTGTAACTTCCAAAATTCACAACAAAGTCAAGTTAAAAAAAAATTTACGATAATATATAAGTAATAAAATAGAATGAATTACAAAAGTGAGATTGCCACCTTCACTTAGAAGTCCAATATCTTCCCAAATAAGAACAAAAATGGCATAAAAATGAAGGTTGCAATCTACAGAAAATATACAGGGAGTCACATAGGATGCATACCAGAAAAGTAAGAAGGCTTTGGGCACTAAATTCATGGACTGTATTCGCACTAAATAAGTTTCTTATAGCATCATCCTGCAAATGTAGAGCACACAGACTTCATAAGCTGAAAAAAGGTTCCGATGGTGTGATAGATATCAGTGTATTAAAAAGAGAAGAAAAGGCTGTGGCAAAAATTGAAGTAACCTGAGTGTTGAAGAATAAGGTTGCAAGGTCATTGTACTCCCTCTTGTTCTGGCAATAGAACTGAAAATAAATATATAATTATAAGAATGATCAAAGATACCAAAAAAATGTAAAGGAATGCACAAATAGCTTCCAATCTGATATTCAACAAACTGAAGAAACAATGCGCGCAAAAGAACAATAAAAAAAAAAATAATGGCCAAAACAAGCAGAGACATACATTCCAAATAACATTGAAGATCTACTTAAAGTCTACGTATATGAGATGTGCAATCAATTTTACTTTAATAAGATTATTAAACATTATTAATGCTTATGCATGCTACATTGCAACATTATCAGCACGCAAACTGAGAATAATGGAAAAACTCAATTGCTAGATCCTGTCCAAACACAAACATAATCTTTAGAAATAAGGTTGCATACATTTACATAATTTCCATACATTCCTGGTGCACGTGGACATTCAATGCCTGAGTTGGCATCAGAATCAGGACAAGGAGTGCATCTTCTGAACAGTGGCAATCCAAATGAAATAACTGAAGTTATCACAGAGATGATACACACTTCAATGATCTGCAAGGTAATAAATAAATAAATAATAAGCAAAGGAAGGAAAAGATGTATTCAATTACCATAAATTCAGCAAATAAACTTATATCCACAAGGATCTGAAAACGTGGAAGTCAATACCATGATCTAAAACTTACTTTCACACGACTCCCTTTTTTGTGCAAATAATTTCGACGCCAGTGGGTTATAAATAGCGTAAGTTGATTGAACAGTGCTCCTGGAACAGTCCAATGCATGCTAAATCAATCTTGCAAGTACATTTCATTCAAACCTCTAATTATACATCAGAGTGAAAAATTATTACCAAGAAGACCTCCAACAACACCAATAATGGCCATGGGCAGCAATTCTTGAACGGAATAGTCGTCTTGACCTCTAAGGAAATGTAAATCCACATAAGCTAATAATTGATATTAATATAGAAGATCAGAACAAAAGTTTAAATCCTAACCCAGAAATGTCCCAGATAATAAAGCCCCCAGAGCCAAAATGACCACACTTTCCACTTTTGCACCATCCCATTGCTGAACGAACAACAACAGCAACAATGGCAGAGGTAAAGAAGACACGCCACATAAGTTGACTCCTCCACCTGCAAAAAAAATAATTATATACAGTCAAATGCAGTCAAATTGCATTGAACACAGAAGATTCACCCATCTAATGAAAAGTACAGATTGGATACTAAATAACTGGATCCATATACTATACAGAACTGAAAAATCACTTGCAGAATAACGAATCTAGTAAAACATGTTTTAAAAAATAATAATAATAATAATAATGAATGAATGAATTCACAAAATGCAACCCTAAGATTGACCTCGTTTAATACTTTAATTTGATCATCATTCTTTCTCTTTGACTTCTAATTCCTATCAGTGATTACAAGTCATGTTAGGCTAAGGCAAGGCACCTAACATTCCTTAGATTGTATATTAAGAAAGAAAAGAAAATAAAGAACAGGGAGAGGGAGAGGGACAGAGAGAACGGGGCAGAGAGGGATGAGCCACAGTATAACAATTAATTCAAATTATGAAAAGATTTTAGGAAGAAATTTGTATGGATGCACATGGTCAAGAAGACATAAGAAATACCAAGATGTAACTTCTTCAAGGGCAAAGAGCACACCACCAACTGGAGCTCTAAATGCTGCAGCAACTCCTGCTGCACATCCACAGGTTACCTTGTCAAAACATTCAACAACTAAAAGAATGAGCACAACTAAAGCAGATACCTCTATCATCAGGAGAAGTGGTAATAATTTATTACTTATCTGCCTCATCGTGATTATAACAATCTATGGGGCAATGCTAGAAACATTGGATAACTCAAAATATATCATATAGAATATAGGCATTCATTGCGGCCAGACAATTGAATTGAGTAAATTATAAATTTTATATTGCAACCACCAAGAAAATGAACAAAACAACCACCACCATTACATACAAATCGAAGAAAATGAACAGCCAAGAAATATATCCATTACTTACAAGATCCCGACGATCCCTTTCACTGTTAAAAACTTGTAACCACCTTGAACTCAAATGATATTTTGCTGATCCACCCTGAATTTTGGTGTGTGTTAGAAATTCAATGAAGTTGACTACCTCTACAAAATCTTTTCTTCACTAAAGGAGTTGTTTGCAATCTCAACTTTGTATTGAAGAACCATTTCCAGTTATTAAAATGAGATAGTATCAAAACATAATACATATAATACATCCCACTAAACCTACTCCTTAGAAATGCAGAATAACTTTTTTCATGTGAGATTTACTATTGTTTACCAATCTAAGATTGGGCCAAGGTCACTCAATTGGGCTATATAATGCACATGGGCCAAACCACACTAAAAGGTTGAATCCAATCAATTAGCTAGTCTAACCCATGGCCTTATAAACCCATATGTTCTCTCTTATATTTTCAATGTGGACCTCTTAATAACTACCAAATCTTAATCAAGGTGGAAGGATTAGTTTCTCAGAATAGATAGTTATTTTCATGAATTTTGATGACTTACTTGTCCAAGCAAAGAAGCAATACAAGCGCCAGTATGTACAAGAGGACCTTCTTTGCCAAGGGCTAGACCACCTCCCACTGAACCTATGCTTCCAAAAATCTAGAAGATGGAACAAGCAAAATGAAATGTGGCATTCTACTAATCCCAGAAAATACAAATTATGACAAAGACAGACATCAAACCTTTCCAATTAAAGTTCTGAAGAGGAGGACGCCATGCATGTCAATTCCTACAAAGATAGACCAAAATCAAAAAAATTTGCAATCAACAATGGAACAACTATTGCTGGAAAGATGAACAACCAACCATAGCCCACCATTTAAATAACCCTTGATTTCTGGAATTCCAGATCCTGCTGCCGCTGGGGCAAATTGTGTGACAATATATACAGAAGAGAGCACTAGAGCCACATTGATCAACGTATACACAAGAAATCCAGCAAAGTATGACTTTTGAATTATTTGAAAGGTCAATGAGTATTTCCACCCGGCAAAGTTTTCAACAGAGATATTGATGAAAACAGCCGCAAGTCCAGTTCCTGAAAAAAAAAAAAAAAAAAAAAAAAAGTATAGGTGGTAAAAATTGGTTGAGAGACATAGTGACTCAACATCAATAGCATATGTAACAAATCATATATATGACTCCAAAAGTTAAAAAGAGTATGGAAGAAGGTAAGCTTAACTTCTAACTTTTATTCTAACTTGTTGAAACCCTAGGCCCGTTACAGTGGGCCCATTAGGTTATAGCTAGTTTTCAGTATAAATTATTGTAATCTGTACAGTTCTACATTGAGAAATAGATGAAACCCTTCACACTTTCACATGGTATCAGAGCCTAAACCCTAGATAGTTTTTCCCCTCTCTTCCCCACCGCCGCGCCGCCGCCGCCACCGGAGTTTCACTGCCGCCGCGACTGGTCTTCTCTCTCCGACCTCTCCCTGGTGGTTCTTCTCCCAAACCGAGACCACAGGCCTCACCGGAGCTCCGTCGCGAGTCTGTGCCCAGAGTCCGGTCGCCATCCGCTGCCGCACGCGCCGCCACGCGCCGTCGCCGTCGCCGGGAACCGCCGCTGTTTTCCGGCCATAACTCTCTCCTCCGATCTCCGATCGAGACGCCGTCACCACCATTGGACTCGTCTCGACGAGACGCTTCCGGGAGTGTTGACCGTTTTCCTCGCCACCGCCCGCCGCCGCCGTTCTCCGGCCACCGCCGCCGCCGCCGCCGCCGGTCACCGCCGGTCAGAGAGAAACAGACAGTGTGTTTTTTCTTTTTGGGTAATCTCTATGGCTTCCTTTACCTCTTATCCCACCATTACTATGGACAAATTGGTTGGGAGTGAAAACTACACTTCGTGGGCCGCTTCTGTGACACTCTGGTTCAAAGGCCAGGGGATGTCTGATCATCTAACCAAAAAGGTTGGGGAAATTGAAGAGTCGAAGAAATCAGATTGGGAGAAGTCAGACGCGTTATTGTGCAATATGTTGTGGCAATCCATTGACCCTAAATTATATCTTATTTACAAGTCTTATGACACTTGTTATGATGTGTGGAATAAAGCTAAGTCATTGTATACTAATGATGTCCAAAGGCTATATTCCCTTGTATCTAATATGCTTAACTTCCGTTCCACTGCTGATATGAGTACACAGGATTTCTTGGGTCGGATGGAAGCTTTACAGCAGGAGTATCATAATTTACTTCCATATCAGGAGACGTCAGAAAGTCATATGAAGCAGTATGATAAGTTCTTTATGGTGATGACCTTGGCTACCCTTCGGCCTGACCAGGTTCACATTCGTGATCAGATTTTATCCAGTCCTAGTGTGCCTACCTACACTGACGCTGTTGCCAGACTGCTTCGTATTGCCTCAACTCCCTCAGTTGAACCTATTGGAGAGTCATCAGTTCTAGCTACTCGGGCTGTGGATAGAGGACCTTCTTGACCATCTAGTGGTGGTGGTGGTCGTCGTGGCAAACGTCCTCGGTGTGAATACTGCCACAAAGATGGTCATACCAAAGATCGTTGTTGGAAGTTACATGGTCGGCCTCCCCGTTCTGTTAATCTGGCCCAGGCTGCTGCATCCGAGAGTCAGACTCATGAGCCAACCTCTACCCCAGTTGAGATGACCTCTAGGGAATATGAAGAGTATCTCCAACTTAAAGCAGCGTCCCGCCTTGAATCTTCCACACCTAATGCTGGTACTTCCTCTTTGGTTTGTCTTTCACACGCCAATACTCCAAACTCTTGGATATTGGACTCAGGTGCTTCAGATCATATTTCTGGTAACCTTTCTCTTTTGCATAATGTGTCTAAGTCTAAGACTTTACCCATGGTCACCTTAGCTAATGGTCATCAAACACCAGCAATTGGTGTTGGTCAAGCTTCCCCTATATCGTCTTTTTCCTTGGAGTCTGTTTTATATGTCCCTAACAGTCCCTTCAACCTTATCTCTGTGAGTAAAATTACCCGTACTCTCAATTGTTCCATAACCTTTTGTGCTGATTCGGTTGTTGTGCAGGATCGCAGTACGGGGAGGGTGATTGGTACCGGCAATGAGTCACAGGGCCTCTATTACATGCGGGGTGGTGATGTTGCTGCTTCTGCCTCTACAGAGTCTCCTTTACTTATTCATAGTCGTTTGGGTCATCCTAGTCTCTCTAAACTAAAACGGATGGTCCCAGGTCTGTCTGTTGAGTCTTTTGATTGTGAGTCGTGTCATCTTGGAAAGCAATCACGTCAGTCTTTTCCGAGAAGAGTCAATAATCGGGCTGCGTCCCTCTTTGATTTAGTTCATTCAGATATATGGGGTCCTTGTCGTGTCAACTCTATTTTGGGTTTTCGTTATTTCGTAACCTTTATTGATGATTATTCAAGGTGCACTTGGGTTTTCCTTATGAAAGATCGTTCTGAATTGTTTCAGATTTTTCAAACTTTTTGTGCTGAAATACAAACTCAATTTGGCAAACTCATTCGTGTTTTGCGTAGTGACAATGCTAAAGAATATCTCTCTCATCCTTTTCAGTCATATATGACATCTCGTGGTATATTGCATCAAAGGTCATGTGTTTACACACCTCAGCAGAATGGGGTGGCTGAGCGTAAGAATAGACATCTAGTAGAAATTGCCCGTACTATGTTGTTACACTCCCATGTTCATTCTCAATTCTGGGCTGATGCTATCCTTACTGCTTGTTACCTGATCAATCGCATGCCATCTTCTGCTCTTAACAATGACACCCCATATTCCATTGTGTGTCCTTCTGTTGATCCTTTCCCTATTCAACCTCGTGTTTTTGGATGTGTTTGTTTTGTTCATGACATGACTCCAGGTCGATCCAAATTAGATCCTAAAGCAGTCAAGTGTGTCTTTTTGGGTTATTCCCGTGTCCAAAAGGGTTATAGGTGTTATTCTCCAGCACTAAAGCATCACTTTGTATCCGCAGATGTCACCTTTATTGAGTCCACACCATTTTTCCAGTCCTCATCAGGAGACACGATCCCTGTCTCTGAGGTGCTCCCCATACCTTATCTTGGTCCACTTCCTCTTGTCCAGTCCACTGTTCCTCCAGCTCAACCGACTCCTCTTAACCCGCCCTTTCAGGTTTATCACCGGCGTCCTCGCCCTGCAGTTCCTGAGGTCCCTAGTGACTTGCCAGTGCTGTCCGATCCTCCGGCTGCGGTTCCACCACTTCCACTGCAATCTGACACTGATCTCACTGAGGCACCTATTGCTGTTCGAAAAGGTACACGTTCTACTCGTAACCCCCATCCTATATATACCTTTCTGAGTTATCACCGTGTCTCGTCCCCTTACTTTGCATTTCTTTCTCACCTATCTTCTGTGTCTATACCCAAATCCACTCGTGAGGCTCTCTCGGATCCAGGTTGGCGTCAAGCCATGTTAACAGAAATGGAGGCCCTCCAGTCTAGTGGCACGTGGGAGTTGGTTCCTCTTCCTCCTGGTAAAACTGTGGTTGGTTGTAGATGGATTTATACGGTGAAAGTGGGCCCTGATGGCGCAATTGATCGTCTTAAGGCTCGTCTGATGGCAAAAGGCTATACTCAGATTTTTGGTTTGGATTATACTGATACTTTTTCCCCGGTTGCTAAAATTGCTTCAGTTCGTTTACTTTTGTCTTTGGCAGCCATTCATCATTGGGACTTACACCAGCTGGATATCAAGAATGCCTTTCTTCATGGTGATCTTCACGAGGAGGTTTATATGGAGCAACCACCTGGGTTTGTTGCTCAGGGGGAGTCTGGTATGGTATGTAAACTTCGCCGTTCTTTATATGGTTTAAAGCAATCTCCACGAGCTTGGTTTGGAAGGTTTAGTTCTGTGGTGTGTGAGTTTGGTATGACAAGAAGTGCAGTTGATCATTCTGTTTTCTATCGTCATTCTAATGAGAAATGCATATACCTTGTAGTATATGTGGATGACATTGTTATTACAGAGAGTGATCAAGAGGGCATATTTCAGTTGAAGAAGTATCTCTTTAGTCGGTTCCAGACTAAGGACTTGGGTAAGCTAAAATACTTTCTTGGAATTGAAGTGGCTCAATCTAGCAGTGGTGTTGTTATTTCTCAAAGGAAGTATGCCTTGGATATCTTAGAAGAAACTGGCATGCTGGACAGTAGACCGGTTGATAATCCAATGGATCCGAATGTTAAACTCCTACCAGGACAGGGGGAGCCATTGCCTGACCGAGAGCGATATAGGAGATTGATTGGAAAACTGAATTATCTCACGATCACACGACCGGATATCTCCTTCGCAGTTAGTGTGTTGAGTCAGTTTCTTGAGACACCTTGTGATTCTCATTGGGATGCTGCTGTTCGTGTTCTAAGGTATATCAAGAGAGCACCAGGACAAGGCTTAGTATACGAAGATAGAGGACATTCACAAGTTGTTGGGTATTGTGATGCAGATTGGGCTGGTTGCCCGTTTGACAGACGCTCTACTTCAGGTTATTGTATTCTTATTGGAGGTAATCTCATATCTTGGAAAAGTAAGAAGCAGGATGTGGTTGCTAGGTCCAGTGCTGAAGCAGAATATCGAGCCATGGCGCTTGCCACATGTGAGCTTATGTGGCTTAAACACCTACTACAAGAATTGCAATGTGGCAATGTTGCCCAAATGACGTTGATATGTGACAATCAAGCAGCTCTACACATCGCGTCAAATCCTGTTTATCATGAGAGGACTAAACACATTGAGGTTGACTGTCACTTCATTAGAGAGAAGATTGTGTCAGGGTGTATTAAAACTAGCTTTGTTAATTCTGTAGATCAGTTAGCTGATATCTTGACGAAATCCCTTAGAGCTCCTAGAGTTGAATATATTTGTAACAAGCTGGGAGCTTATGATCTATACTCTCCAGCTTGAGGGGGAGTGTTGAAACCCTAGGCCCGTTACAGTGGACCCATTAGGTTATAGCTAGTTTTCAGTATAAATTATTGTAATCTGTACAGTTCTACATTGAGAAATAGATGAAACCCTTCACACTTTCACATAACTCAACTTACAGAAGCATATATCATTCATTCTAAAATGAATCAAGAAGCACAAAAAGAAATATAGCAGTATAGTTCAAATGAATTTCAATATAAGTTAAATGACTTTTTTTTTTGTCAAAAAAGGAACAAAGAATTTGATTAACATAGTCTACAGTTAACTTTATTCTTTTTCAAGTTCTCTTCATAAGGGAATGGCTTTTTTGTCAAAAAAGGAACAGAGAATTTGATTAACATAATCTACAGTTAACTTATTCTTTTTCAAGTTTTCTTCATAAGGGAATTTAACTATGCCATGAGCACCCCCTTCTTGTTTCCTGTTTTTTAAAATCTAATTTTATGCACCATGTTCTTGTGCCACTTGTACTTCTTTCACTACGATGATAACATTATTCAACTTCAGATTATTTCAAAGCTTAAAGGCTTTCCATTCACTAATGTGCACTCTTCTTATCAAGGCATGTGTCACTTTGATCAACCATTTGGCAGATATCCCAACTCAATGCAAGTGAGCAATACTACAGAGTATAAAAGGAAATTCTAGTAGTTGAAAACCCTCTTTGGCCCTTGAAAAATCAACTGTGCTTGTTTGCCCAAGCAAAAATAGCGGAGGCATTTTGCTTTTTATAATTTATAGTTTGTCCCTTAGAGTAGATACGCTCCAAAATAAGGTGGGTCAAACAAGCTTGGTTGATAAAAGCTTCAACTTCTACTTTCAGAGCCTGGTGAAACAAGCACTGGCTGCAAAATAAGATGTGACAAAGCTGGATTCAGCTTGTCAGGCTCCCTCCCTAAAAACATTTTAATCCTAGCCACTTACACTAGTTGTAACCCTTACATTGCAGTGGCTCATCTCTTCCCATTTTCTCCTACCGCTTTTGCTAAAGTTCTCTCCCACATTAGTCACACTTACCATTTACCACGAATGCATGAACCAAAATATTATATCCTTTCTTCCATCCTCGTTAATTTATCTTTGTATTAAAAGCTCCCCAATCTCCCAAATTACAAGTTGATTTTTTCTTTTATCTTAAATTTAGATTTTTTTTATTTTTAAAATTTAGCTTGATTGAATCAATTCTTATTCCAAAACAGAATGCTCCTAGCAAGACTAATTTAGCTTGTTAGTTGGATATAGAGTTGTAGGCCAAGAGCATCTGTAATCAATGGCATTTTAATTTGCAGACTCACAGCACTATCAAGCTTGGCTCAAGCTCATCTCTTGGGTTCATCAAGTTTGGGCTCAAGCTCTAGCTTGGTACTTTATACACATGGTAAGCCTAGCCTTTAGTTCACAAGCTGAGTCTGGCTTGAGTCAGCTTGTTTACTCCCTTAATGAAAAGAGTGATAAGGAGCAGATTTCAATCAGCAAAATAATTACAAATGCAAAGCTTTATACTAAAAGAATTTACAAAATGAAACTTAGCTAGTTTAAAATCCTAGTGGGTTCTACAAAACCACTATTCCTTTCTCTATCTTACACAACTTCTGTACTGAGCTAAATTACAAGCTACTGAAAAGCTGAAGTGTGGTAGTTAATTGGTGGAAAACTTTAACATAGCCCAACCAAACAACAGAAGAAGCCGACAGAAACAATTGTTTTCACATTGTTTACCATAGAGTATTCCATGTCAGGGTAGAATAAGCCGGAAAAGCAAAAGTAAACATGAATATGTATGATATTTTTTTTTTTTTAAAACAAAATTACAGAATATCATTTGTTCTTTAAGTTCAAAATGCAAAGTTGTAGACTTAGTTGCAAGATGAAAATTAGTCTCTCCAGATTTCAGTTCTTTAACTTCATCGAAGTGAACCAGCAAAAAAATAATCATCAATTTTCACTCAATACTGAGCAAAAACAAAAATTCTACATAAAATGAAGTTAAATATCATAGCAAAAACAAAACATTCCACAAAAAAAAAAAAAAAAAAAAAAAAAAAAAAAAAAAGAGTTAAAATATTCACACAAATTCAAAGGCTCTTGACTCACCGATACCAATAAGCAAAGCAAACAACCACTTCACCACAACTGAATACCCCACATAAAGCTTCCCTTTTTTGGCCTGTCCATATTTAAATTAAAATAAAAACTTCAATTGACATGATCAAGAGGATTACAATTGAGCCAGTAGAATAAGAATCCTCACCTGTTGTTCTCGATAAGCGTAGTTTTCAATGACTTCATAGTCGAGACTCTCCACAGAGCCGTCGTCCATCTTCTTGGAGGAGACCAACCCTTCGCGCTCTTCCTCCTCTTCTGCCGGCAGCCGCGACCACATCGTCTTCGCCGTTTCCAGCCCGTTCTGTAAATGATTCGATAACATCTTCCCTTCAAATTCCTTCTAATCTATGAAGAACCGAAAACCCCAAAATTCCAAACTCTTTTCACTGCCAAAGACGCGGAAATTGTAACTTTCTTGGCGTTATTCCAGATAGAATTCGAAAATTTTCCGATCAAAACGGAATTTTACCGTTAACAAATTCTCATCAGTGTTTATGTGTATACATATATGATATGTGGGCTGTGGGTGGAGAATTTGAATTGATTCGATCGGTGAAACAGGATTTCTTTGATTCGAAGATAAGAGAGAGAAGACTCGGGAAGGCTGGTTGTTGGATGACTCGTTTTTCCACTGTCTCCCTCTCTCAGCGTTGGAAGAGAGCAGTGTTGGTTTTCTTTGCAAACTGTGAACTGTCAAGTCTTATTCTCTCAGTCTAAATCTTTGGCATTTACTTTTACTTCGTTGTTTTGATGACTCTGTACTTTTAGGAAGTGTTCCATTTCTCACGATTTTCTTATTACTTTTCAATTCAGAAAATAAAAATACCACTCATTAATCAATTTTTTGAAAATATCAATTTGACAAAAATTTGTGAGGACCTGTGAGCAATCGTTATATCGTGCACCAAGGTGTCAATAGTTATCTTGTGTATGGTGCACACGGTTACAAAACGATATTGTTTTGACTAAAAACGCGCTTCCTATTTAAAAATAAAAATAAAATTCAGTTTCGATTCCCCTCAACAACATATGTTGTTTATTCATTGTGAATTTTTAGTTCATTCATTGTGGATATTTAGTTCATTCATTGTAGATATTTAGATCATTCATTGTAGATATTTAGATCATTCATTGTAGATATTTAGTTCATTCATTCTGAATTTTGTGTTATTCATTCACTGTGGATATATAGTTATGAATTTGTGGATATATAATTCAAATTATGCACAAAGAATATGCTATTGCCGGGAATTGAACCTAATTTTTTTTTTAAGTGGGACGCGCGTTTTTAGTCTAAACGACATCGTTTTTGCACACGGTTGTACAGCATAATTTGCGCCAAGGTGCACAATGCATTGTGCGCCCTGCCCAAAACTACGCCGTTTTTTATATTAAGAGTTTATGTGTATTATGTTAAGAGTTTACGTGTATTCTATTAAGAGTTTATATGTACTATGTTAAGAGTTTATGTGTATTGTGTTAGATTATGTGTATTATGTTATGAGTTTATGTGTATTCTACTATACAATTATAATTAACAATCATTTTTTTTTTTTAATTTCTTGGAGGGGGTAACCCAAAATAGTACAGAATACAATGGTCATAGAACATTATGGACATTCCTCCAATGAGGGATTCCATGCAGATCATCCTGTAACAGGCCTAAAACTTCTACTGGTGGATCATTCAGAATATGCATTCCTTTGGGGAGATACCTAGATAGCTTTGCTAGAGAATCTGCTACAAAATTCTATTCTCTGTTGATTGATGTGATCTGCTAAACCTCGAAACAACGCAATTCTCTTCTACAAGATAGGAGTATATTATGCGCCACAAAAGTGGGAGGGTAAGTGTTATTCATAAACCTTGCGACTTCGTTAGCATCCGTTTCAAAGATCACTTTCCTCCATCCCCAATGAGCAGCAAATTGAATGCCCTTCAAGAAGGCCCAAGCTTCTGCAACTTGAGGCGAACAGCAACCTAAATTGTGCATGAACCCATGTTTCCAGCTACCGAAATGATCACGGATGACTCCTCCACAGCCGGCCTTTGATGTATTAGGCTCAACAGAACCATCAATGTTGATTTTAACAAAGCCTTCTTAGGGTCTCTTCCAGCTAAAACCTTCCCAGCGAGATGAAGAAGTAAGATGAAGCTTACCCCTATCTGTTGCAAACGCCTTGATAGTCTCATTGGCTTGTGAGTTAACCCAGGCTATTTTGAATTCCAGTGGTTTGGTAGAGTTGCTAAAAATGGCTTCGTTTCTCCACCTCCAGATCCACCAAGATGTTATGGCAAAGAGACTGTTGTCGTTGGATGGAGTTTTATCTCCTCTGCTCTTTGCTAGACCTTTTTATAACCATAAGGAGAATGGAGAGCTTCTGAACCTTTCGTCAAAGGACGGAATGACTGCATTCTAGAGGCTGCTAGCTTCCGGGCAGCCACGAAGAACGTGCTCTATGTCCTCTATGGCTCTAGAGCAGATTCCACAATAGTCACAACTAGCATTACCTCGTTTGACCCTATTCTGGTTGGTCATCAACTTATCATGACAAACAAGCCAAAGGAATGTTCAAATACGGTTTGGAACCTTCAATTTCCAAACACTATTCCATTTGGTTGCATCGATGGTTTCTGTCATTCCCATTGTTAAGTCATAAGCTGAACTGGTTGAGAAACAGCCATTGGGTTCTTTACTCCATAGGATGGAATCCTCCAACTCAGAGTCTTCAATGAGGAAGGTCGCTGCAAGATTATCTAATTGTTGCTCCGGTAATAAGTTAGTAAGTTGATCCCAGTTCCAGCCTATCTGAGGAACCCAATAGCTTGCAACAGTTTTCTCAATCTCAGATGAGGGAATATCACAGATCACTAGTTCTCTAACCGGAGTGACATCACACCAGCTGTCAAGCCAAAAAGATGTTCTTCTACCATTCCTCACATACTTTTTTATTCCCTTTAGCAGGATGGGCACAACTCGAAGAATTCCCCTCCACGCGTTAGACATATTCACTTTGAGACGCCAAACAGAGAAATCTGGACTAGAGATGGCATACTTAGATTTAAATACCTGAATCCATACAGCATCTTCTTCCTGTAGAAGCCTCCAACCAAGCTTTGCCAAGTTCATTTGCTCAAGTTTTCGAATGCCCAAACCTCCGCAAGATTTACTCTTTGTCATAGTTTCCCACTTCACCAAATGACACTTCCTCTCCCCTTCTTTGCTCCCCCATAAGAGTTGCGAACTAGCTTTTCGATGGATGCAATTACACCAGCAAGCAGTAGGGTAGTCTGCATGGTGTAGTAAGGTATTAATGATAAAACTGATTGGACCATTATCTGTTTGTCAGCAAGCGAGAGAGACTTCGATTTCCATCTTGCAAGTTTTGATTTGATCCTATTAACAATTCCATCTAAGGAGTCTCTCTTTAGCATCCCATGAATAGAGGGAATGCCTAGATACTTCCCCAGGTCATCCACGCATGGTATGCCAACAGTTTCTACAATTCCCTGCTTCAAAGCTGGGCTATTATTCTTAGAAAAGAACATTGAAGATTTGTTGAAACTAACTTTTTGCCCTGATGTTGCACAAAAAATGTCTAGATAACTCTTCATCTCAACAGCTTGCTCAACAGAGGCGTCACAAAAAAGGACGAGATCATCTGCAAAGAAAAGGTGAGAAATACAAGGACCTCGTCTTGTTACTTTTATACTTTTCCACCGACCACAACTTATAGAATCTTTAATTAAATGGCTTAATCTCTCGATACATAAAACAAAGAGTAATGGGGAAATGGGGTCTCCCTGTCTAATCCCACGCTTTGCATTGAACCACTCCAATTGCTGCCCGTTCTAAAGAATCGCAAGTCTGGGCGTAGAGACGCATTCTTTGATGTTCCTTCTCCATGTTTCGCTGAACCTGCAGTCTCGAAGGGTATCATCAATAAAGGACCAAGCAAGCCTATCATAGGCTTTTTCCAAGTCAATCATCATTACCATCCATCCCACTGCGCCTTTCTTATATTTCATAGAGTTCAACAACTCTTGGTACACTAATATATTGTCTGTTATCATTCTGCCGGGGACAAAACTTGTTTGATATTTACCTATTAGCTTGCATAGGGCACCTTTGAGTCTGGATGCCAAGGTTTTCATCATTAGCTTGTATGAAACATTACAAAGACCAATTGGTCGGAGTTGTTTCATCGACTCCGGGCACAGTACCTTTGGGATAAGGGAGATTAGTGTATCATTGGAACCCGTTGGAAGCACACCATTCTTGAAGAAGTCCAGAGCATATTTAACCAAAGAGTCGCCTACTACATTCCAAGATTTCTGGTAGAAGCCAGCACCGAAACCATCCGGCCCTAGTGCCTTACAAGGTGCCATATCAAACAGTGCATGTTTAATCTCATATGAGCAAAAGGGAGCATTAATTTCCTACCAATCAGATTGGGACAAGCTAGGAAAACGCCCCTCTAGAATTCTTTGATGACCAGTGTGAGTTTCCTCCGCGAATAACTCCATGAAGTAACCACGCACATGCTCTTTAATCAGCACTTCGTCCAGAATCAAGTTCCCATTCTCATCTTTAAGCGCATTAATCCTGGATTTTCCATTCTTCACCGAGGTGGCTGCATGAAAGAAGCGGGTATTTCGATCCCCGGACGCAATCCGGTCCTCTCTCGACCTCTGGAACCAGATAAGCTCCTCCTGGAAAAGAGTTTCATCTAGCTCTAGTTTAAGCTTCTTTTCTAGTTTGATTAATTTTGGCCGCAAGTTGATTGCAAGATTGCGCTGCACCCCATTAATTCGAGTCAACAAACGCTTTTTCCTTTGAAACACATTACCAATAACACCTCTGTTCCATTCAGTAAATGTTTTTGCCATTATGTTCTTATTTGCATTGAGATCGAGTGCGTTGTTCCAAGTCTGGTGGACAAAATCCTTATAGCCCGAGTGAGTGGACCATGCCATGTTGAACCGGAAGTTCCTACTCTTTGATGCTTGGAGAACTAAGCTCGTCTTTATGAGGAAGGGAGAATGATCAGACCCCACTATGGGAAGGTGATCGATCGAAGCCTTCGGAAATTTAAGTTTCCAATCAATGTTACTAAGAACTCGATTAAGACGAGCCCCTTTGAACATATCCACATTGGTTCCTCGCATCCATCTGAACTTTGAACCCGACTATCCTAGAACCACCAACCCCTCGCGAAAGATCCAATCGTTGAATTCAATGTACCTAGACAAATAAAAATTTTCAGAGTTACTCACTTCATCCCTACAAGAAACTGAATTAAAATCTCCAGGGCGGAAGTG